ATTGTGTGACTCCTTATAGTGGTTACAAAGTGTACAACTCAGAACTCATTGAAACGCATTAGTTTTTCACATGGGTTAAATATGAGGTTATATTTAGGTTTTTAATTATTAAAACAAAATATTTCATCATTATTGGTGAACTACGGACTTACTTACTTACTTACTCCTGTTACCCCTCGTCGATGAGCATAGGCCGCTCACCAGCATTCTGCATCCAAATCTGTCTTGAGCCTTCCTTTCCAGTTGCTGAACTACGAAGGCAATATCAAAAATTTGTTTATCTGAAGACGTCAAATTATGATATTTTAGACGCTTACTTGGTTGAGATCAAACTCACTTTTCTATATCAGCAACTTGACGTAATTAGATAAGTTTTCTTTCCAATGTTAGGCATAAATTCAGTTTTACTAGAAACTGTCCAAGAATATGAATGAAGAATATGCTTTTCCATAAATTCTCTTCAGTTTCTACAATTATTGTTATCCAAATAGATCATCTCTAAAGTGATCAGATTCAAGGCGAAATACATCGTTTAAGCATGATAATATTTGGATTCAGGGAATGTAAAATCAAATGAAATTGTTCATGTTAAGATTACTTAAATTGTCATGACTTAAATCATCAGGTTAATGATCAGAAATAAATATGGAATATTTTCATAGTTGAAATCATGAGTCATTTGAAGCTAGACCACCATGGAAAACCTGGAAGCACTGGACGGTTAAGTGCTCAGGCACGAGACTGGTAGGACCTGGGTTCGAATCTCGCGAGTGTGTTTTCGTGGATGCGCACTACTGAAGAGTCCCATAATAGGAAAAAACGGCCTTCCAGTGCTTCCGGATCTAGCTTCAATTGACTCATGATTAGAACCATAAAAATACTGAAATATCCACTAAACCTCTTCTGAAATACGGAATAGACAGAGTGAGAGACAGTAATGTTATTACAAGTCAGAATGTATGTAATATATGAAATAATATGAATGAAGTACAAGATGGTAAATTGGAAGTGGGGGAATGCCGAAAGAATTCCCCAAGACGTCTCATGTGTTTTCAATAATAATAATAATAATATATATGAATGAGTTTAAGCTATGAAGATGGAAATAAGAGTATTGTCTGAACATAAATCGAATTATGTCACCATAACAAGTGAGTTCATCAGTTGAGATGGCTGGGACATGTGTTACGTATGCCCAACCACCGACTGCCCCAACGTGCAATGTTTTATTGTGCAGAAGTAGGTTGAAAGAAAGCTATGGGCGGCCAGACCAAAACTTGGCACAAATCCATGAAGTCACTGACAAGTGGACTGAGCCATGTTGGTAGGTTAGACTACCTGGTTGGGATTCGCGAGATGATAGCAACCGATGGTTAGAGACCTTGAATGAATCGTTTGCAATGACGAAGGTGCATGAACTCTTTGTGTTCTGTCAAATTCTAATCTTCTGAATTCTTTATGTCCTTATCCTTTTTCTCTTTCCAAATTTATTTCACTAGATTATACTCCTTGAATAAAATCTTGAAACCCTAATCTTTCACATAATGCTTATACTCTTACTACTTCTACCACTATGGAATTTGAACCGAAAATTGTATCTCTGTGTTAATGTGGTATGGCAACTCGAACTGATATACGTACGTACGAAGTTCTACGTTGTGACTGACTAACTGACTGACTAACACCATTTCATCAAACAATTAATACAGATATTGGTAAAGATATGATGAGCAGTTGAAAATATTCACTCTGGGATCAGATCTCCAGCTCTCTTTGATCTAAATAGCTGCTGTTTCAGTTATCTAAATGAGTCTTAATCTGACGGATATAGGTAGATTGCTGTTAACATGATATATTGCTGGAAAGTCAACTCTTCATATTAGTCATTACAACATTAAAGTTTTCATTTTATCTTCTATTAAAAACAATCCTCAATTTACATACTGTTATTATTAGAAGGGGTTTTTTGTGGAGATTTAGTATTTTTATAGTTAAAAGCATGAGTCAGTTGAAACTAGACTCACACAAGAGCACTTAACCGATAGACCACTGAGCCGGCATCCAAGAGGTAAATTCAGGAGTTCTAGTGAGAAGCATTGACCAGTGGAGTTCAAACGACGAATGTTGTGAGACAGGAACTCACTGCAGACAATTGGTGATCGGTTGCATACTGTTGTTGAAGTCAAGTGATGAAAACCAATTTATTGCTTAATGCACAATCACATAGTAATTTATGAAAATATGAAAATCATACATTATTTGAGCATCTTCTTTGAATTTTCTCTTACAAGTTTGATTGTTCTTTCATTTCTGTTGTTATCTTGATTACTTTCAGTTTTCTTCTCAATTCTCTTCATTTCATTCCTTTTAACTTTCAGTTTGTCGACATTCCACTTCCAATTGTTGTCACATACTACTTATATCTATCGAAATAAGTAGTATACATTACATTTCTGAATATTGTGCATCAAAAGTGAATACTGAAAGTTCGTAGAATTCGATATCTCTCCAACTTTATAAGTAGCTTATAAAGTAATCATATGAATATAATTTTTTCTTTTAAACTGTCATATATACAGTCAGCAGAACCTTTATGCAATTATTCATGCCCTCATTTATGAAGTATTTGTACATGATCTTTATTGTTACTTTGATGATAGATACAAGTTCAATCAAATGAACCTTAATGACAATTCAAGTTACATTTTGTTTCTTACGAGATTATGTAATCACTTTTAATAAATAATTGCATAAGATTATTACTTCATTTGTTCTATCTATCAATATTCTGTATTACGTAACTTGTTTTGCAGTTTATTCTTCTATAATTGAAATCATGAGTTAATTGAAGCTAGACCACCATGGAAAACCTGGAAGCACTGAACGGCCATTTCATTCTATTCTGGGACTTTTCAGCAGTGCGCATCCATTATCTTGTGCGCGAGACTGATAGGTCCTGGGTTCGAATCTCGCGAGTGCGGGATCGTCGATGCGCACTGGTGAGGAGTTTCACAATAAGACGAAAAGGCCGTCCAGTGCTTCGAGGTTTTCCACGGTGTTCTGGCTTCAATTGACTCATGATTTCAACTATAAAATTACTTAAATCTCCATAAAAGCTCCTTCTGTTTATTCTTCTATTATACCTAATGTTGAACTTTTGTTTTTTACCATTTAAAATGATTCCTTTTCAATTCCTATGAGTAATTATTACGAAATTCAATCACATACTAACCAAAATTTATTAAGTGAGTACACGAATTGATCACTGAGTAGCAGTCAAATCTATGTTTAACTTGTCTTCAATGTTGATCGTATTCTACTGATCTGGTTATAAAGCACTGAATTCAATAACTTCTTCGAAGGAATGTCTTGATTTGATTTGTTTAAACAATCATGGAATGAATTTCTATTTGGGGATCAGTAAAGCAGTAAGTGTTCGAATAGTTGAATATACACATGTTAATTTATGACAGTGAATGGGGTAGCTTTCAGCCCCGTGGGGACCGCCATTTCGTTTCAAACTTTTTCTAATGATGAGTTCCAAACATATTGAAGCTCATCTCAAAGAGGACTTCCCGCTAACTGTCTCTGACAACCTAATTTATAAATCGACTACTATTGAATTGTTATATAAAATATTTCCTTATCCAAGAGATGATAGTGAAGTTTTCGAAACCAACATGCCTTTTAGGGATAAAAGTCAGTAACCAAATACAGTTCCCTTAACGTGTTTTGAGCAAGACCTCACGTGCAACGCTTGGTGAAAATCTATTAAAATCAATGGTAATAGAGTATGGCTTGAACCTGTAATACAGTGATGAAAGAACGAGTGACATATATAAATATAAATTCAACTAACAAAAAGATCCCCCTGAATCAGTAATTACAATGAGTTCTGTCTGAAAATATTTGGGATTACAAACTGTCATCTTATGAATGAGTGAGTACTGTAGAACTGATTCATATCTAGCATGCTACTACTCAGTCGTGTGTACAAACGACCAATCTGGAGGTCGAATGCACCTTTGTGAAGTTATTAAACTCCACTGACTTGTTATTCATCTGTTGTTGTATCAAACTTGAGTTAACCCTTTGACACTTTCTTGTTAACACTTAAATATGTAAAATACTTAGTAAATCGGACAGAACTATTCAAGCAATACGATGCCATGAGACGTATTCGAGTAACTATTCTGTGATTTACACATAGGACTACTTTTATTTACCCTTAAGAAAATATTTTTTATAGAATCCATGTTGGATGTGAAGCAGTCACCCATCAAAGACTATGAGACATGGTCGCTCAAAGTCGTGGATTAGTTCAAAACAAACATCAACACCGTTAGATTCCGGCTCAATGGTCAATATGTTGAGAGTTCACGTGCAAGACTGGAGGTTCTTGGTTAGTCGGCTGAGTACGAAGTCGTAGATATGCACTCTCTAGGAGCCCTACACTAGGATGAAACAGCCTTCCAGTGCTTCTAGATTGTTCAATTATGGTCGGTTCAGAACTGCAATGAAATTTTCTATGGAAATTAGTTAACTTAAAGTATTTAATTATAATAGATTTCAATTTATGATGACAATGGTAACTTGTTTTGTTCATTTCACTTAGTATTGTTTGTTTGAATCTTCCCATTGGTTTCCACGACTGCAATTGATCAGTCTGTTATTGGTATATATTGCTTACTATGCGTATTGCTTAGTGGATAATGCAATGGCGTTTGAAGCGAGGGTACTGGGTTCGAGTCCCAGAGTGAACATCAACTCTGAGATGTAAGTACATCCAGCTGACGAGTCCCAGATAGGAGGAAACGCGCGTCCTGGATTCCACTGCTAGCCACTATCCATCTTTGCTTACCATGCTTGTGAATTAAGGTATGTCGAGGCAATAGGCACAGTATGCACATATGCCAATTAGAGACTGACCAGTTGCAGTCCTAAACACATCGATGGGAAGATTCCAACAAACAATACTAAATGAATTCAAAAGAACTGTTTGTTACATAAACAAAAAAGGAAAAAAGAAGCATAAGAATGATTGAACATTAAGTCAAAGTTATTTTGTTTTATTATCCATTTACTAAATTGCCTAAATCACCACACATCCACCTTTTTCTTGGAATGGATTATCTTTTTTACTAGCAAATCCTGAAACTAAACAATCTTTATCACGATTCTGTTCCATATACACAATCATTTCTTGTACACATTCAGAGACAGGACGACGATTTAAATTAGCTTCTTGACGTAATTGTTCAACTAGTTTACGTTGTTGACTTAAAGTTGACATATTTGTATTTTGAATAGACTGTCACTTTTGTTCAATGATAAATCCCTTAAGACAAAGAAGCAAAACAGACCAATATGTAGGATAGATGAATATTGTAGTGTTTTCAATATAAACATTTAAAGGTTAAGAATATTTTTGGAATAGAGAGAAGTCAGCTAATGGAGTCAATTAATGGATCGCTAGATTGAACCTTGTTCCATCTAACTGATTGGACCAACGTCGCAGTATCAGTTGATGGCTTTCAAGTGTTTATTGTGAATACTAGTCCGTAATAAGGGGAAAGTGTATTTATCAATAACTGTCAACATTAGCTAAACTGTACTTAGTAAAATCAGTAAGATACATCAATCTAAGCAGTTTCAATGAAGCTGAATGGGTTTCAATGATTATGTAAGGATGGCTCGTCGGAAAACTCTAGGAAGCCTTAAGAAGCCCAGAAAGAGCTGAAGACATCCCATTCAATCACTGCTAGGGGAATATTCTAGAATGTCGACGTGTAGCTTCCCCATTGGATGGATAAGAATGAACCCTTTGTGTCTATTGATTGTTCGAAATGATAATCTATTCTCAGTCAAAAAACGATAAGTACATGAGATTTCTGTACTATATTTTGACACTTCTTTGGGGAACAAACTACTACTTACTAGTCTTCTCTTTTGCGACGTTCAGGGTTCGATCGTTCAAGTAGTCTAGTAGTAGGCGGCATAGTAAGAATCAAAGCTCTAGATATAACAGATTATTTAATTCTAACCACTTCATGATTTCAAATCCGGACTAGTATATATGCATAGACTAGAAAATCCTGTAATATGATTATCGAATAATTCTTTCAAGATTTCATTTTACCGTGTACATTCGCCTAGTTATTCCTGTAGTTGTAAACGGTCTATTTATAGGTAGATACTTTAGTCATTCAAGCAGTTCATCATTCTTTTCTAGATCAGGATTTTAACACTGTTCAGTGCAATTTTCTTTAAGTAGCTAAGGTATAATTGATTAAGTTGTACTGTAAAAATCTTTTAGTATCGTTATGACTTGATCAACGTCGTCGCTAATTTGTTATGACCCCACAAATTAAATAAGGACGTAACTTGCGTGAATTATCCACCAATAGAAATACGAATTCTCCGATCTTAACACAGTGACAATCAAGGACGTCCAATCAGTATGAGTAATCTCGCGTCCTTATTGATCCTTAATCCGCCTAGCCCGTCAAAGAAATCCATCGATATTTAAATCAATGTCTATATGTGTATTTCTATTTTCTCATCGAATTTATTTTTTTCTTTTCTTCTCTTTTTTTCTCATTTTTCTACATAAATTATAGGGATGTTTAGGACTGTAATTGATCAGTGTCTTATTGGTTTATGTGTATCCTGTGAGTATTGCCTCGATATAATCTTCATTCACAAGGATTATAAGCAAACATGGATAGTGGTTAACATTGGAATCCAGTTTGACTCGCGATACTTCGTCCTATTTAGGACTCGTCAGTTGGATGTACTTACATCTCAGAGTTGATGTTCACTCCGAGACTTGATCCCAATACCGTTCACCCCATCGCACAAGCAGGTGGCAATCAGGACTCATTAGCTCAGTGGATAACGCGATGGCGTTTGAAGCAAACGGTACGAACCCAGTACCGTTGATGTTCACTCCGAGACTTGATCCCAATACCGTTCACCCCATCGCACAAGCAGGTGGCAATCAGGACTCATTAGCTCAGTGGATAACGCGATGGCGTTTGAAGCAAACGGTACTGGGTTCGAGTTCGAGAGTGAATATCAACTCTGAAATACAGGTACATCCAACTGACGAGTCCCAAATAGGACGAAGTGACGCGCATCAAACTGGATTCCAGTACTAGCCAATATCCATCTTTTCTTATAACGAATAGATTGTTTAGAAATATTAACTATACTGTAAACAGATAAAATCATTTCGATTAAAGAATAAATCATAATTGTGTAAATTTTAGTTAATCATCTTCTGTATAATTCTCTAGGTTGAAGAGTTCATTTAATACACAAACTGCACACACGAAAATTCTAGAATTTTCTTAGTCTACCTAGTAGCACTGATCTGTTGTAAATGGAATAGCAAGCTCGAATGACATCTTTTATGCATTTGTTTAACCCATGTTTAAAAGCAACGGTCTTCATACTGTTCCTTTCGAATCTTTTGTGTATTATTTTATACTACTAATTTATATTCAGTAAGTAGCTGTATCCAAGCAATTTGTACGCATATGTTGTAGTGAAAGCTTGTCGTGTGATATTCTGAAATATTTACATATACTTATAACACTTAATGTATTTATAATTAAAATTACTTTGTCTTGATCATTGTAGCGGTTGTTCACAATCTTATGCATTTACTTAACCCATGTTTAAACGCAACCGTTTTTATATTGTTTACTTTGGGTCAAAGAACTAAAATCATGTTGAATTGAGCTGCTGAACGTCTGATCCGTGTATCATGACAATAAAGTCTGCCTAACGGACAGTACTGCACTCCTTCTTTGTGTGGAGTTATGTCGGTGTCATTTCCAGTTGTACCAGCTTCGATTCATCAATTTCGATACGTTTCACTGTGAACCTACTTTTATGCAAACTAAATGAATTAGGAATCACATGTATGTTGAAAGTATTGGGAAAATAATTAAACAAGAATTTGCAATTAGTAGAATATTGTAGAAAGATGATTGAAATTCCCGTGTTCCCATATTTCTTTGAATTGATTAACGTTAGACCACAGTCGAAAATCTTAGGGAATTGGCAGCAATCAAACAATGGGACATCGACCTCGCACCCGAACACATGACCTCTTGAAAAACGGTATGAATGTCAGATGTTACTCAGCCAACAACATTTGATATTGTGGGAATTCAGGATGAACGAACCTCTTCAGTTATTATTGTCACTGTAGGTGTTAGTCGATAGGATTTAAGAATGATGCAGATGGTCTGTTATAAGTTACACAACATTTTTATTGATCAGGATGACTTTGTTGGTAAAGTTGTCTGAAACAATCAGAACTGCAGAACTATCTTTATGTTTTACGAATATACAAAATATGGTATGTTTTATGTCATTGGTTTCTTTTTATTCTTACTATGGGTGGCCAACAAATTTTCCAAAACATCGGTTTATCGTCAAATTGTGAATACAAGTTATGTGAACCGATTGGACGCCATGAAATGTTGTCAGCACGTCCTAAATATGAGTGATGAGGAATCCAACGATCAGCATGCTGTTGGTTTGAATGTTTTAAGCGACCGGAAGTCTGAAGTCGGTTGATTTCCATTCACATCTTCACTTTTATTGTTGATAGAGATAAAGGTAATGAAAATTTCCAGTAAATACCTATCTACATGTGTTTTCATACAAAATAAGTCAAATGAAGAAATCTTGAACGAACCTCATTTCTTTAGATTGTTGGTTGATACATTTTGTGATAGAACCCTTCGTAAATATCGAATGATCACTCGCTTCAGACGAACTACATGCCAAATGAAGTTTGATCAGTTGTGTGGGGTACAGAAGTGATGAATCTGTGTAAGGAAGTCGTTTCATTCAACCATTCATTACTTCATCATATTTATGAAATTGGCAATAAACCCCTCCGAATCAAATATCATTATTTCAACAATTTCTCAATGAATGCCAAATCATTGGATAAATTTCTTCATATATTTTGTGTTTCTGTAGAATCAGTGATCCGACCTCTTTCTATTTTGACGACTCTGTCAAACTAAACAAGACCTCTCAACATTTTATTACAAACAACGGTATGTAATTGGAAAAGCAAACTGAATGCCAACATGTAAAGAAAATTATGTGAAATACGTCAACCAGCTGAAATTCAAATCAACATTTGGTTCTGAATGGAGCAAGAATAACAAGACCAGCAGAATTGCATGAATACAACTTCATTTCTCTCACAACAAAGAACTGATGGAGTCAACAGTTCACAAAGACAAAACGGTGTCAAAATCTTATATCACGAAATTCTATCATCACGTCAATATAATGATTGAAAGCATTCGAAATATTGGAACCAGGTACAGAGAAATCATAAGTTCGTGAAATCAACACAGATGTCCTTGTTATTTAAAACATTATTTCAGTGAAATGTGACAAACTGTGCAGTAAGATTTCAATCTGCTTGTAGTAACTTTCATTATCCACGACTGACCATATTTCATTTATTCTGTACTGATGCGAAGGTGTTCCAAAGTAACGATCAAACGAATAAACTCGTCAGCCTCACATGCTGGTAGTACAGTTTTGATTAGTCGATATTTTTGAATCATCGTCAAAATGTAAGTTATTGATCAACTAATGGTCAGTGTTAGTGAGTTTAACGTATTCAACTTCTGAATGATATTTCCGTTCGTTGACTCTGTTACAGTAAAACCTAGTAATAAGAATTAGTCTGCCAATTGACGTACTCACCAAGGTAATCAATCAATCAATCAATCAAGATCGCTTGTGTTAACCACTTTGGAAGAAGTTGAGAAACTTCAAGGTAACAATTGCGCACCTGTAAACCATTGAGTCAGTTGAATTCAGTTTGTTGATCTGAATCTGACACATTTCTGATATTTACCAATTGTGAAGAAATTCGTTTAAGAGACGAAACCTATTTATTTGAGCTTGTTGATAACAGCATTCATGAGAATGTAGAACATGTGATCAAAGTGGTAACAACATACACAGTATAGTGTATAACACAGAAAACAATAATGGTAAGTTACTTCAGAACTGTTGGAGAACGTGATTGTCCGAAATATATCGGTTAAATGAATGCATGGCGAACATGAACCGTGAACGCAATAACTCAGATAATATTAGAAAACTATTTGATATTCTCCGTGTAGATTGTGTTAAATCAAAAAAGTCTACTGAATAAGGTTTCTTTAATGCAATGACGCATGAAGGAGACACAAACCAACAGTTACTAGCTTGTTAAAGACACAGTTTGAACGAGGAATATAT